TTAGAGTGCGAATGTTAAACCTCGCCATGGAAACGGAACAGCGTGGCCTTATAAGGGTCTATTGCCGCTAGGCGTTCGGTGCGTGTCGCGAAATGGTGGCTGCATATGGTTCTGCTCTTGTAGCACTTCGGTTGGTTTCAATTAAGCTGGAACTTATAGGTTAGTAATGGGGGTCGGGATGAGAGTAAGAGAAAAAGGTGGAAAAGAAAGAAGGTAGGCGCCAGCTGTAGCATGTTTTCGCTTATCCACCCTATTGTATGCAGCAGATAAGGCCACTCTTGATAATCTACGCGACGGATGGTATCGAAGTTTGAAGCGATTGTCATGGCTGTATGCCGGCTGAGATACTGCCAGGGCGCCTAGACATAGACAAGATAACGATTAGGGGCCTCGTCCAAAGCATTTGGCTTAAAAGCCTGTCCGCAAAGCAGCGGAGAGGTGGCAATGATTTAGTTTTACATAAATGTACGCCACCTTATTTCAAACCCTCAATCTGGAGGACCAGGAGACTGCGTTTGTCTGATCTCTCATCATTGACCATCCTGGTGAGAGTAGTTCTCAAAGTTCCCGGAGGCACCACTCAGTGGGTCAAGGAGGTACGCAAATCGTCGCACCACGATAAGGTCGAGTCTTGTTGCGATGGTTTCACCATGTCGCGTCATGTTTAATAATAACGAACGGATGTCAGTTTCAGTCACAATTTAAACAAATAGCATTTTGTACCGACTGAACCGTGTTGTTAAATGTGATACCCAACACGAGGTGAGTCGCATGGGATTTGGCTTGGTGGGTGAAACGGACTAACAGCAATCAGCTTAGTAAACTGTGAATTCATTTCCCGATACCAAATCAAATTTTGCCTCCCTCGAGCGTTGAGCCATCCCACTCATGACAAGCAAGACAAAGCCTTCCTTGACAAGCGGCGAGCAGACGTACCTGGCACCTGCTCAAGATAACAACTTACTTAACGGTATTTGTATGCATAACTAGCCAGGCTGTTTTCTTTTCGTACTTACCTGCATGCTTCGTTTTCAGTACGCTAGTGGCCTCAAAATTGGCCGACCCGTAGCCCTAAGTATCACAAGCCTGTCCTGTAATCCGAGGGCGTGGTTTCGAGCCTGCTTAGGGACCGGGCGACCCTCGCAGTATTCTTGGCACACGTGCGACTGGTGATGGTTTGGCGGCAGTGTTCCGCAGGTGATTATGGACACTGAGTTAAGGGCACTTGAAAACATAGAAGAGAAAATTCTCATTGTGACCTATACCAACCTGTCGGATGAAAAGAACTGCCCTCCTTACATCGTTGATGTCTCTATTTACTGGCATACAAAATACGTAAACTGACTCCAGCAACGACGCACCCCTTATGGCTTATGCATCGGCCACAATAGGTAAGCTGAGAAATTGTCTCCAGTTTCTTGTCAGGAATGAAAAAATGATCAACAGCAGCGCTTTGCAACGCATTGCTTGCCAACTGATGAGTCGTCTATCGAAATTCTTTTGGGCTACTGCTACCTCAGTGTCGGCATCCAATAGGACGATACCGTCCACATTATCCAAACGAAAATGGTTGGAGGAGCATCACGATATAGTCGGTCCAGTAGCCCGAGAGTGATTGCAAGTTATAGTCGTATTTCGTACCTCATATAAAGCATCTGACTTAAAGTGCTGATTCGGTCTATCCCACCCAGCCAGGAAAAAGCCAATTGAACCGTGAATTCATGTTGCAGTGCTGGGCTTGATTATCACTCGAACTAGTTTCTAGGTCCGATGAAGGTATTGTGGTTAATGCTCGCACCTCCTACCCTTAGCAAAGTAGTCCCGTAAGATCTAGCCCATTTTTTGCAGCAAATTAGCGGATATTCTAGAGATCATTTTACCCAGTGAGGTTGTCATGAGCCGTATTTTCATGTGCTCATTTTTCTCTGGTTTTCATAACTTCATATAGCGCTTATGAAAGAGCATTTTCATGGGTAAGATTGCTTCTCTTCGTATCATTGCCGTCCATATGGGTTTGCTTACATATTTAGGGAATGCTCTTAAATGAAAGATGCCACATGCGATCGTAACTTCTCTTTTTGCTTCTGAACCTAGAAATGGACACATCTCTAATACTGCATCTGCAGATTTCTCCGATCCTGTAAACACTAGTCTGCGCTATTCTCTGCGGACTTGCTACTGTTCGAACATGTCAGACCGCGAGTCTTCAGGCAAAGGTGTTGGTGTCTCCATCCAGTTTGTTCAACGGTTGCCCGTTGAACTCCTATCTGTATTAGTGTACCGGTTAAGGCACCGCGTTTCAATTTTCTCTTGGCATACAAGAGACAGGCTTTTTCACCCTGAGCGTATTTTTGTCCATCCTTTATGTTTTCGCTACCTGTCCCCTAGTTGTTTTGTGTAAAAATTTCACTGATTCCCTTATATTTTCTGTCCGTAATTTATCCGCCCTTAGAGCGCGACTGGCGTTCAGCTCTGCCAGCCCTACCTGTCGAACTCCACCTAGATCTCCCACTTGCCATTTTCCTAAAAATTTTAGGCTGATCTACTATCCTGCGCGTTATTTTCAGCGTGATTGAAGAGAGATGTACAGTTATTCTTTCTCCTCAGGGATGTGACAGCAGCAATTCTACTCAGCTGGGTCTCGCCCAGTCGCCCATCATTTGCCGTTCGCCCTAACTGTGCACAGCTGTTCACATGAATTGGTTCTGTCGATTAACGCTGGGGGGCTTTGCCTGGCAACCACCCAGACGATCATTAAATCCCATATGGTCTGGGGTACACATAGTCCATTTCAGTTGCTTCAAAGTCATGAATCACTATTAGGTATGGCGCCTTCGAATTTGTAATTTGTGTACGTGCTAAATCAGGTAGTCATTCATGCGCGTGGTTATATATAGAAAACACCTCAACTATTGTGCCGCAATACACGAAGAAGTAAATAAGTACGCAATGAACACGCAAGCTGAGTCACCGGTAACGGATGGACATCGTTTCAGAGAGCTAACAGTCGGGTATTGTGTCGCAAAATGATGGCATTATGCGTCAGAACTGAGCACGTGGTTAAAGGGAGAGGCTAAGCGGAGGGGGGGGGAGACAAAAAAAGCCATGTTAGCGAGCGTATCCAGCCAAACGTGTTCATCGTCTATCGGGCCCAAATTGGAGAGCTGAGAAGCTACAACGGAGCCCAACTTCGAACCAAGAGCCGTCATTCAACTTGACCAAGTCATCACTTGGCCTACCATCCTCTTTTTCCATCTACACCCGCGACGCGCAAACAACGCACGTCGCGGAAGTCGGTGTGTTGGCATATGCAACACGTGACCCAGCCATTGGAGTCTGGTTCATGAAATAACGGTTTTGAGCGGTTCGCTCGCTTTTCCTGCACCAAACACATGACCCGAACATATTCATTGCACAAGCGGTGTTCCCACCAGATATGAGCCAAACTGCGATGGCACTCGTGGTCGAACGTAATAAACATTTTAACTTCTGCCGATCTAATGGCCACGTTTCACAACCGTACCGTAGGGTCGAACCTACTGCTGCATTGTGCACTCTGTCCTTCAGGGCGAGAGCAGTGGCGTGCCAGCGCCATAAGTGGCGAAGGTTAGCAAAAGCTCCTCGTGTTTTCGTGACTTCTTTTCCACAGCCGCTGATATACTTGCTCAAGTAAGCGAATCTATGAACGACTTCCAGCTGATCCCCACCACGGATCTGCGCAAGAGGCGGTCCCTCCCAGTCGGAGGAAAACTGCACTTTAAGGTTGCAAAGTAAAACCCGGAATGACTGACAGTCAATGCTTATCTGTCTACTGCTGTTTGGCACCTTAGTGAGCTGTCAGAAATTAGGGTAATGTCCTCAGCATACTCCGTCAAGAAATCGTTTGCCTAGAAGCGGCTCCACACCTTCCGAGTTGTGTTCAGTGAACGCGACAATGGCGAGCATCTGTGTCTTATACCGCTGGAGATCTTGAATGGCCGCGACAGATCACTGCTAGCCCTCGCTCTGCCTGAGCCTTGCGCGTAAAGCGCTCAGATTATATTTACATAATTCTCAGGTACACCTTTCCTTAGCAGAAAGTTCCAAAGAACACATCGGTTCCCTAAACAGAAGGCGTCTTTGATGTAGAGGAACACGAAATAAAGTAATATCTTTACAGGTAGGAGTGGTATTGGTTGCAGTAGTAACTGGTGGTGAGAGTTGGCTGCGTCGCGATTCCGCTATCGAATGAGCAACTAGTTGATACGACCTGACGGGAATATATGGAATCGTTTTGAACGAACTCGTATTAGTCTACTGTTATTGCCTTTCAGAAACAAGGTGATCTTTCGCTACGATCAGCAGTTGTTTCAGTTATTCACACCCGGTCGTTGCGTTTATGCCGATAATCGGGTCATTACGGCATCGCGTGGCTTATTCCGATTGTATCTAGACTGTCTAAATGTTCACGTTTTCGGAGTAACAGTTGTATGCCACGACGTAACGGATGGCCATTGTCTTTATGCGCACGCGCAACCATGACTATTATACTTATCGCCTATTTAGTGACTCCTCAACCAATCGTCCAATTCGCTGCACATATAGTCTGCAGTGTTTACCCCAATTAATGGATCTCACGGTGCTCATTTTTTGTAAATACGCATGACGCCACCAAATTATCCCCTGTCAGCATGTGTTCGAACTGATAAACCCAAACTACTTCATCTTACTTAAGCTGATCAGACACCTCAGTTTAAACTTGGTTTTCGTCAACTGAGACTAGTTCTGTCTGAATTGATCGTCACCAACAGTTACAAGTCTGCGTCATTTCGGTAGATTGTATTCCCCATCCCTTAACCAGTGTCATTTTCTTGTTAACCATCTGCTTTTTAGTACTGGGATTTTTCAATTGTGTTACAGCGCCTCTTCCTCCGGCTACCCTTCTATTCATCACTCCCTTTCAAATCTCACTCAGTAAATTATTTTGTGATTGTGTCGCATTTCCTCTCTCGTAATTCTAGGTTACCAGCCTGAAGGAATACGGCGCATTCATCAGCATTGGCCACACTGGGAAGCAAGGTAAGTCATAGCAGTCCACTCTCCCATCGTGCAAATGATTGCTCGTGGATGTTGCGAAACTTAACTATCTGTCTTTCAAGGAGCCTGGGCCTTAACGTGGTGCGACTGTTTACTTATCTCTGACCTATTGAACTATCTTGGGTGGTACCCCCGGGCTCCTACCCGGTTGGTCAATAGTTAGTCAGGAAAACAGGCTCCTGGTCATCCACGTTGGAAATGCGATATCCTTCATTACTGTAAAACAAAATCGTTGCCGCCTCCCCGTTGCTTTGTGGACAGATTTTTGAGCTGAGGACCCCAATCGTCCTCTTGTCTAGGCTGGGCGCCCTGGCAATATCAGCCCACATACAACCATGAGTATTTCTTCAAACCATATAACCAAATGTCACCATATCTGCTGCATACAGC